CAAGAATTTTAGTTGATCTTCCTCAATTGCGACTCTGTCACTACAAGTTATTGATCATTACTGAGTAGTTGCAATAATCATTGATACAATCAGAATATATTGGAATCGATGAACAAATCTGAACAAAGTACAACAACTCCTGTGAACCTGCGTCCGGGCGGTTGTGTACGGTCCATAAAATAGTGCGCCCCAATGAAGTCGATTCAAACGGGTGCGCGCGGGAAAGTTATTCAAAGAGGTTACCTCGGCTTCGTTTAGATAGCATCATAATTTGGCACTTGGTCTAAAGTCTAAAATACTAGTAGGGTGCTTATATTGGGGAAAATGGCGAAAAAACGAAGTGAATGCGTCGAAATTGTGCAAAAGAAGCCTCTGTTCTGCATGACTATGAAGGATCTGGACGAGTTTCCCGCTGGCATCGTGCCAACAACGTAGATACGGCTGCATGCTGTGCCGTATATCCACACAGCACCGCAGCTGCTTCATACCATCCCTTTACTTCATATTGTACTTCGCAAATGAAGCGATACGAGCATCAGCATCGGTCGGACATTTGTGGGCGGGCGGGCGCGGTGGGCGTCCGGTCGGTATGTTGCAGCTTGATAGGGCGCTATAAGGGTACCTTTCTTGGGAAAAGGCGCCACGCAGCGCCTGCTCAGGGCGCTGAATTCTGTCCTGCTAGGCGTATTAATCCTACACGTCTGAGGGATTTATCGTGCCACTTGCCTTTGAGTGGTTAATGACCCTATCAAATCTTGTCCTCGTTTTATGAGAGATAGATCTTTACGAGAAAAATCTTGGTTTTTTCAATTTTCTGATCAAAAGCCTTACCAAAGATATGTGGATTACAGATTCTTCGAGATCTTGAGCTGGATTTGGTCTACGGGTTGAACACGCACGTTCATGCAGATCATGTCACGGGTACTGGAGTACTGAAGTTGGTAAGATATTTGAGTAAGAGTTTTTATTCGGACTGAGAATGCAATACAGATGGATAGCTTGGTCGTAGACTTCAAAATCTTTCCAAGAATGAAGCAGATGTCACAATTTCAAGTGTAGTTGTATAGGCTGTGGTGCGTTACTTCCCAGTCGCTGCGAGTGCGGTCAAATAAAGTATAAAGTAAAGTTATAAAGGTAGTAGTAGGTGTAAATAAATTTGCAAGACAAGTGGCGTGTGCTGCGTTTGCAGCAGGACCCGACTCGCTCAGTGTGGGTCTTCGACCTTCTCTACCTCTCAGCGTCGTGCATCCCTCAAGTCGACTAGCTGTCTCTGTGCCTATGTCTAATCAACTAGTTGGCGCTCCGTGGAAAAACTCACCCATGCGCGTATGCGGTGCGGGTTTTTGGCGTCAGCGCGGCGGCAGAGCGGAGCGTAGGGCGACGGCCTACGCCTCCGTCACTGTGCTCCAAAGAGCAGCCGCTTTAATGAAGAAGGAAAAAGAGGAAAGAATAGAGAGGAAAAAAGGAACTGAACAAGCAGTGGATGTCATATGCGAAGTGTGAGCAAGTAAAAAGTCCGACTATCGTAGGCGTATTACTGAATTAAGTCATGGCGAAGCTGGTGAAATAGACGCGCCTCAACGATCCGCGAAAACGACCAGCAAACGAGCCTTACCCACGTTATAGGTGAGTGACCCGACGTAGGTTCTGGCGAATGCCAACCAGTTGGTTGTAGAGTTATCTCACGTTGAAACGATTAGCGTTTTGAGGTCTGTTCCGTGTTTTCACAATCGGAGGGGCGTATTTCGCGGCAGCTTGCCATGACTCAAGTAATACGCCGTGATGGTCGCTTTTCTGTATTCCTGCTCAACTCACTAACTTATTCCAACTTATGAAGATGCCACTATTTGGTCAATAATACTTTTCGTCCTCTTTTCCTGTTTTTCTTTCTCCATAAAAAAGCGGCTGCTGATTGGAGCACAGTGGCGGAGGCGCAGGCCATCGCCCTTCGCTTCGCCCTGCCGCCGCGGTGACGTCAAAAAACCGCGCCGCATACGCGTATGGGTGAGTTTTTCCATAATCCGCGGGACAGGACACCCTAGCTGCGGTGGTGCACGTGGTGTCGCGTTGTGCACATGCAAAACGGGCTGCATCAAAGCTGAATCGCGCATGCGCTCTCTAGTTTCCGCATGTCATACCGAGCTTTACCGTTGGTTACTACTTTTGTATTAGCCAGGCCCTTTCAGCTGCCCCGCAACATCTCGTTGCAACCGCTTTGAGGTGCCGTAATTCAGCGATGGAACCATAGAGTTCTTTTGAAAAGCTGATCTAGCAAAATTAACACATGAAAGTCCTCAGCGGCCAGTCAATATGTTCAGTTTAGGCATATCCAGCCATGAAATCAGTTCTATCGAAGCATTCCGGTGGCAAAGCTGATCACTACGTTGATGATGGTGACAAGCTTAAATTTGGCCACGAGAGCCTTGAAGTGCGAACAACTCCTGGACATACCGATGGTAAACTGATTGGTCGATTGAACGTTGACTCTTATGATATACTGGATTGAAAAGTAAATTTTGTTGAAATGTTCACAATAACCCAATAGTTGAAGGGCGTCCGAAAATGAGAACTTGAGCGCCATCTCTCCCAAACCTCTCTCAAACTTCTGATGGAATAGCAGATTCCTATCTTCTTGAGTATAGCATCATTTCCGCATCAATATCCTGCCTAGGATGAATCCCGGTTCGATTCCCACCCAGGCCAACCAAGTCTTCTACGCTCTGGAAACCGTGTATGGGTACCAGACTTGTCTGGGAGGATAAGAGCGACAGGCCACATCAAATTCAATAAGCCACCACGATTCCGAATGGAAGTAGAGTGAGTGCCGCATCCCAGAAAGGATT